CGGCACTGGTACTTAGCAGATGGAGGATCTATACGACCTCAGCCCCACCGTGGTTTGCCAATCCCTATATTGTGGTCCAAAAGTAAGAATACGAAAATTCTCACTATGAACCATTCTAGGGATTTTTTTATTCCGGGACTCCGACCGAAATTCTAGGTGTAGGGTTGAACCACTCACCTCCTGTCGGCAAATAGGAGCCAGCGCGGACTCAAAATGTTTCATCATATTTGTAAATTCAGCCTTCCGTATCTCTCTGTTCGTAAGTATATGTTTGGTGAAGTTGGTGTGCAAAAAAATTGTAATGAACATTAAAGAATAGGAAATGTTAATTTGACTTGCAGGTTTCTTACTACCAAATACAGCAAATCTTTTTTTTTTACATAAACTCTTAATCTATACATACAGTATTTGTATTGGTGTCAGCAAAAGACCGATGAGATTTTCGACTAGCTTAATTGATCTTCATTTAGTCCATAGTCTAGCCGTTCAATAAAACCTACACCAATAATGCACATGATCAATATACATGGACGTGAGCTACCCTGTAATTTTGCCTACGCATTAACGTAAGCCGAGCCACACAGTTTTAGGAAATTATGTTTCGGTAATCTAGAGAAAATGCTTGATATTATTTTATTTTACATGAAAGACTTCGTCCCATTGGGAAAATATTTTTGAAAATTTAAAATTATGATCTCACAGAATACATAATTGATTTTTCTAAACATCATAGTTATTTTCTGCCCTCAGGTTCAGAGATTTATTACGGGCTCTAAACACCTTTAAAAACCGTCTGCTCATGGAGTTATAATTATTTTATGAAACTTTAAATTATATATAATTGTTAAAAGATCACTTATGTTTAATAAACCTATAAATAACTATTGCTAGTTAAGTGGCTTATTAAACAGATGAACTGTGTTCAACTGGTTCAACGTGGCCATATATTTTTCACTCATGTTCTTAATGTCGTATAAAACTCGACTTTTTTAGATAGCAACTCAAATCCAATATTAAGTAATTTTATTTTTTACAAGTATTTAAAAACATCTTTACAGAGTTAAATGACACTAACACACCAAGTATTGTTTAAAACTTTATTTGAAAAGGAGTAAATGCAATTTTATTGGAACATAAAGCGATTGTACTCAAGATATTGCTATTTTAATAAATAATTTTATTTCACTCAAAACGTAATGAGTCTGGTAGGTAAAAAATGGAATATGTCCCTCCAAATTAATAAAATGTGTTTTGCACTGTGACTCTCAGTTTTGCACTGTGACTCTCAGTTTTGCACTGTTACTCTGTGTTTTGCACTAATCAGTTTTGCACTGTGACTCTGTGTTTTGCACTGCTGACTCTCAGTTTTGCACTGGTGACTCAGTGTTGCGCTGCTGACTCTCAGTTTTGCACTGCTGCCAATTGTATTTTGTCCTTTTGGCGTTCCATAGAAAAAAGTGGGGAAAAAAGATATGCCACAAGAGCTAATGGCACATGCATTTGATGCTCTTCAGTGGGAGCAGCAGCAAAATCAACGGCCGCAATACATTTTGCAACTGAGCAAGTGATTGCGAAAGGCAATGCACTGACACAATTTAGTGCCAGACAAATATCAGAGATGGCAACCAGAGACAATATGGGGCTAAATCGAGGTCTCTTGATTTTGACGTACGAAGGTAGGTTTAATTTATAGCATTTAAAGATATTACGAAATATCTGACAAAAAATATCCGACTTTAAATAATTATTTTAATTACATAAAAGGATACATGCCGTAAGCTACTTTGTAAAATAAAATAACATCGATAAGACTTAACATGTGTGTATTTTCACGGAATTCTAATAACCTTAAAAAGCTAAAGCAGATCATGATATTTATTTTTCTCAGCTGTTCAAATTTACATGTATGTTTTTTTTTTTTGTTTCAGAAATGTATGACAGACATGCTAATAGCAGATGTGATAATCATGTTATGTAGTAATGCCACTGACCTAAAAGATAACGTGACGATGGTTGAGGAAAATGGACGCGAGGCCAATATGCGATACTGGTTATCGGAAGAACAAAGTATAATCCAGTTTCTTTCTTTAGAAGTTATAAAACAATAGTGGTTTACGATTTCATTAAAAACAAACACATTGCAGTACATTTATAAAAAAATAAACAGACTGTACCATACATATTGAGGAGTCTGTGGCTGCGGTGATATTTATTATTACTGTACTTTGCATTCGCAATATTTATTTATACAGTAGTTACATTTACATCAGAAACCCTTCCTAACGGAATTCACAAGTCAAAACTATTAATAATAAATGCACACTATATGAAATGTACTGTAACCTAATCACTGTTAGTTTCAAGTAGTTATTTTAACTCTAAAATGAGCTATTCTTTACCTAAAAAGGTACAAATAAACTCTTTTGGAGTTAAAATAACTCATTGAACAGTGTGTAAACTACCGGTACCTTCTATTTATGACGTCAGAAAAAAGTAAGCTGGGAAAAATATGTTCAAAGATTACTGATTATAGAACCATTCTTTTTCTTCTTTATTTGTAGATGCAATTCAGCCTATTGTTATTAGTAGGTCTACGAGTGATCATGACGTAGCAAGATCTATTGTTATTAAAGGCACAGAGGACGCAATGCTAGAATCGTTAGTTTCCGATTACAGCAAGGAAGGAAACCTTGTTAATAAAAATAATTAAAAAAATAGTGTATTTTTATATAGCGCACATATCCATCTAATGTAAGATGCTCAGGGCGCTTGATGTGTGGACTATGAACTCGATCAATGACTTTCTTCGCCCCTAAGGGCCCCTTAATGACTGTGCTACCCGGTAACCCGGTACCAGCAACTCTCGTCGTCCACCACAGGGGCTGTCTGTTCCAGTACACCGGGGTATCCCCCTACTCGTCTCGAAGGATGTACCGGGTTCTTTATAGTGCACACGAGCCATTGTATACACTGGGCCTATGGTTTATAGTCCTTATCCGAGAAGACTTGTTCTACCACCAGAACCATTGGCGAGCGTGAAGTTCGAACCAGTGCCGATATTATGGCTATAGCTTGCGGCGCCCCTGCTAACCGCTCGGCCATTGTATCGGATGGAACGGTAATTATATTTTATATTTATTTCATGATAATAATGATGATGATGATGATGATGCTGATGCTGATGATGATGATGATGATGATAATAATAAAATCAATATATAATTATTAATATTGATAGTAATTATTATTGTCGTGATGGAATAATAGACAATAACTGGATTTGCGTCAGGAGAAACATGTATAGGTGTACTTTTGCCCTACCTGACGTGGAAATGTACCGAATACTCAGTACAGTTGAAAACAACTGCGGTCTAGAGGTATGATGCCAGGCTAGTGATCTGGAGATCGTGGGTTCGAGTCCCACCCGAGAACAACTTGCGATTTTTTTCGCAGTTGTTTTCAACTGTACTGAGTATTCGGTACATTTCCACGTCAGGTAGGGCAAAAAATACACCTATACATGTTTCTCCTGACGCAAATCCAGTTATTGTCTATTCCA